TTTCTGAATTGAATGCTTAGTTTATTTTTAGCCTTTTTTGTTTCCTTTAGGTATTTCATCTGGATCTTGCAAATTTTGTTTTTATTATTATAATAATAAGTAATTATTTTTATTATTATAATGTTTCAATGTTACATTGTAGCTAAAGAATGTATTCTGTATTATGTTGATCCTTTGGAATTTATTGAGATTTCTTTTATGGACTAATATATGGTCTGTTTTGTAACAGTACTATGTATGTATGAAAATAACACATCTTTTGTGTTTTGGTGGAACAGAGTTTAAGACAGATAAAATATCACATGTTTATTATTTGTAATGTTCAGTCTTCATATTGTTGTTTTTTCTTTTTGGTTTGCTTGATCTATAACTTTCAAAGATGGGTGTATTAATATCTATATTTACAAATGATGGTGTATATATTGCTCTTGTGTTTGTGACAGCTGTTATTTGCTATATTTTGAAACTGTATTTTTGGGTATCATTTATTGTGGATTTTTTTGTCTTACTGTTCATATAGAAAATGTACTTTTTTTGCCTTTTGATATATTTGCCATAAATTTTACTCAACTAAAATTAAATTTGGTATTCCCGCTTTCTTTTGGTTTATATTTGTATGGTATATCTTTTTATGTCCTTTTATTTCTATATGCTTTTGTTTTTAGTGTGTCTCTTCTAAACCACATGTTGATTCTTATTTTTTAATCTAAGAGTCTGTGTCTTTTAATCTGTGAGATTAAATCATTTACATGTATTATAATTATTGTTATATTATTTTTTTTCTCTCTCTCATTTTCTGTTTTCTTTTGGAGCAGGTTGTCTTCCATTTTTGTTTGTGATTCCATTTTGTTTCTTGTGGTTATGCTTAACTTGAAATCTACATTAACTTTTAACTTTTATTTATCCCTATTAACTTCTTAAACTTATTAGTATCTAGGTCATATTTCTAATAAGACATGTACTTTAGCACACTCCCATGTCCTTTTTTCTCTATCCTCCCTCATCATGTTTTATTGTCAGGAATAGTAGCCCAGATATGTAGGCATAGATATGCTTTCTCTTTTTCTTTTGTTCCTATGTTTTTTGTTTTATGATAAAAATAAACTTTTCCAAGGTACTTGATCACCTTTCCTTATCATATCTCATGTAACCTTTCCTGGATTTATTTCTCTTGTTAATTGACTTGTTAGAAAATAGGTAAGTGTATATGTTTAAAATATATTAATGTTAAATATTAAAAGAATAGAAATTATGTGTGAAATTGAAATCACAGGTAAAAACATAGAGATTTAATCATAGGAGGTGATTAAATCATAAAACTCTGTCAGCCAATCTAAGAGGACTCAGGAAAGGATGGAAACAATTTTTAAGAAAGAAAAAATAATATTTTATAAATAAGTCTAAATATATCAGTAAGCATAATAAATGAACATAGATAAAGCTTACCTTACCTGGAAAAAGACTGAGTCACACTGACTGGATGAAAAAACAGAATCCTTCTCTTTGCTATTATGAGAAACCTACCTAAGGTAATGTCACACAAAAAGTAAATAATGATTACATAATGATAAAAACTCATCAAGGAGATATATTAATCATGAACTAATATGTAGTTAAGAATGTGTTTCAAATTGTGCATAGCAAAATCTGACAGTATTACAAGAAGGATTCAAAACTCCCAATTCATAGAGAATTATTTTAACTGACCTTTCTTGGGAAGGACCTTTGAGAAAACTTTAATACTTAGACACCCGTGTTCATGGATGGGAAGACAAAAGAGATATCAAGTTTATATAATATTTTGGAGGACTTATTTATATACCAGAAAAGGAGTGGAAAATTATCAAACTCTCTGGAGAAATGATAAATCCCAAGTGTTTATAACTTCTCTCACTTTTACTTAGTAGGTAGGCCTGGATTTAAAAACCTTTACTGTGTAACTACATGACCTTGTGCAAGTTACTTAGTCTTACTGAATGTTTCCTCATTCCTTTAATGTAGATAATAATACCTTGTAGGATCATTGTGAGAGTAAATGAGATGACATAGCCAGCCCTGTTCACATAATATTTAGCTGCTGCCATGGTGGTGCTGCTGCCACTAACATTTTAGTTTCCTTCAATTTTACCATAAACCCATTTAAATATCTGTTCCCCTTATTCTTAGTTTTTACTCAATATTTTAAATTGAGATTTAGAACTGAGAATGTTATCAAAGAAATCAAATGATGTCACATAACTAATTTATAATCTGTTTTTTCCACTAAAAAATATTTTTAGGCAGTTTGAACACATGTATTTATCTCCTTTCTAAACTGCATGACAGTAGTGAAAAACTAAAAAAATTATTAACTTGTAAATGATTAAGTGAAGAGCTATCAGCAAATGAGAAATTTCAACAAAAATCTGGGAGACAACAGGAGGAACAGTGGTAAGAGCCACTTAGGGCTAAATATATTACATCCCAGAATACTCACGCAGGGGAATACAGGCAAGAAGGAACTGATGAGCCCTATAAACTTCAGAGGCTAAGGTTACATCCATACCATCTGACACAGAGGGCCAGGCTGAGATGCAGGTAAACACTTATCCCCCCAAAACAGGAAATTAGATATTTCTTTTTCTGAACTAGCTGAATACTCTGTGAGAATTCTAGCATTTGAGTCACCTTTGTAGCTTGTATAAGAATAACTTTAAAGAGAGAAACCAAAATATGTGTGTGTGTGTATAACTCTGAGGAAGCATAATGCAGATAACATAAGAAAACTTGATACAAACTCTAGGCCAGGCACAGTGGCTCATGCCTGTAATTCTGGCACTCTGGAAGGCCAAAGTGGGAGGGAGGATCACTTGAGGTCAGGAGTTTGAGACCAGCCTAAGCAAGAGGGAGACTCCATCTCTACTAAAAATAGAAAAAAATTAGCCAGGCATGGTAGTACATACCTTAGCTCCTAGCTAATTGGGAGGCTGGGGCAGAAGGATTGCTTGAGCCCAGGAATTTGAGGTTGCTGTGAGCTGTCATCACACCACTGCACTTAGCCAGGGCCACAGAGCAAGACTTTTGTCTCAACAACAACAACAACAAGATAAACTCTAATTAGTATTTCTAAAGTATTAAAGAAGACATTGTGTCAGTGGAACTCTTATTAATATCCTCAGAAAGATGTTAAAACCATCTATAAAACTAGAACAGGATGTCAAGAAAAAGAACCAGGAGAGATTGAAAATAATCTCCTAGAAATTAAAACATGATGGCCAAAATAAAAAATTCAATGGAAGAGTTGGAAGTTAGTTGAAAAACTCTCCCAGGTGATAAAATAAAAAGACAATGAGACAAATAATATAAGAGAAAATGGACAAACATAAGATCATCCACAGGAACTGATGTATAACTAATGGGTGACTCAGTGTAAGTACAGTGTTTTAGAAGAGAAATCAGAGAGGAGAGGAAGTTTGCAAAGAAACAAGCAATGTTGGTAGAGCTAATGACCAGAGGTCTCCAGATTATTGGTACTGCTGGGCTCAGTGAATGCCCAGAAGAACTAATGAAAAAAGTCCCAAACCAAGAAATCAGGAGATAAAAGATCCTAAAATATTTCCAGAGAGGGAACAAAATATTACCTAAAAAAAAATTAGAATTAAAAAAAAAAATCCATCTTAGCAGCAACACTGAATGCTTACAAACAATGAAGCAATTCTGAGAAAAATTCTTTCACTCTAGAATTCTGTGCATAGCTAATGTGAGGGGATAATGAAGACTTCACAGGTATATAGTGACCTAAATGATTCCTGGTAATTTTTTTCTTGGTAACCATGCTAGGAAATCTTTTTTAAACTAAATGATGTGTTGAAGAGAACCTTGCCTGTTTCTCACCTTTGCTTTTTATATTGGCCCTGGGCTTGATTCATATTCATAAGTTTGATTGAACTCATATGGGTGTGCTCCTCCAAAATAAGGGAGTAAATCACAAAAGAGGAATAATTATATGATCTTGAAAATGGAGCTCCAAAGAGTAGCCAGCCCAGATCCAGATTGGAGCAGGAAGATGACATTTCCAAAATAAAAAAAGTGAGGGGTAGGGTGGGTTGTAAGACACTTGATAAAGTAGATTACGTAGAGCCTTTTAAAATAATTAAGAATATGAGGATAGGGAATTTATTAAATAGAAATAAAACAGGTAATCCTCCAGACTGCTGTACATAGTCATTATATAACTTTTTAAAAAATATATATACATATATATATTTTGTACAAGTGGGGTGTCACTATATTGTGACTGATCTTATACTCCTGGCCTCAAATGATCCTCCTGCCTCAGCCTCCTGAAGTGCTAGGATTACAGGCACAAGCCACTGTGACAGGCCAGAACTTTTTATTGATTTGACTAAAAATTAGTGATAACACCATATGAGAATAGTTAGTAGAGGTGTAGGGTATAGGATCTAATGCCTCATCTTATAGCAAAAAGTAAGCAGATACTGTCTAATTATTCATAAAGCAGTAATATAAGCAAAATTGAGCATATCATTAAAGTGGCAAATGGTTCTGGTCTGAAGTATGCAGACCTGAGTCCCAGCTATGCTACTGTCTAGCTATGTGGCCTTGGCAATTTACTTAATCTCTTTCAACCATTGTTTACTAATTTGTAAAACAAGGATGATACATAGGATTGCTTAATCTCTTTCAACCATTGTTTACTAATTTGTAAAACAAGGATGATACAACATAGGATTGCTATGAGGATTAACTGAAATGCAGGTGAAGTACTTACTCAGTGGTTAGCAGACAGGTGCTACTGTGTTTCTTATGATAAGGAATGGTGTTGCTAGATACATTAGCTATTTGACTACTATTGTTATGCCTCCCTTTACCTTTCTTGTTTTTTTTATTCCTTACTGAAGTTCATTCTCTATTCAATTTGCCCCTTATGTTACCTGCTAAAAGTCTTTTTTCTTCTTTTTTTGCTAAACGTCTTTTTCTTTGTCCTGCTTCTCACTTAGATTTCTTCTTCCTGGAAAGCCTGATCTTTGACCAGATGGCAATAACATTTGAAGATGTGACTATTATTTTTACTTGGGAGGAGTGGAAATTCCTGGATTCTTCTCAAAAAAGGCTCTACAGGGAGGTCATGTGGGAAAACTACACAAATTTCATGTCAGTAGGTAAAGTTATCCCATCTTACAGAGAATAGACTTAGTGTCTTCCAGAACCCATTTTGCTGAATATTTTGGTTTTTTATCTAGGTGTTGCATTGAAATGGTGAAAGAATCTGGATGTTATATTGAGTAGAGGAAGAAATACTCTCAAAAATGTGTTTTAAATCAGGTTACAAATAGAATATAAAGCAAAACATCTTCCAGGACACCTAGGCTATATAATTAATAGATATTTATGATTATTATTTTTAGTTATTTTGGGGATTACCCTTAAGCATCTATCTCTATACATAGTCGACTTTGTGTGGTACTACATTTGGTTTTTTTCATACTATTTATACAAGTTAGCTTTTGTTGTATAGTGATTATGCCAAACTAGTGGCTTAAAACAAATTATTATTTTTCATTATTCTTATTGGCTGGATGGACGGATCTTCTATCATGGAGAGATTTGATTGGGACTGGATAGATGGGGCTGGCTGGCCTGACTCACATGTCTGGCAGTTGGCTTAGTATCTGTGGGGATGATGGGGATGTGTTTGCCATATGTCCCTTTTCAAATAAGCTAACCCAGGCTCATTTACATGGTAGTGATCTCAGGAGTTTCGAAAGCATTGAGAGAGAGTGCAAGCACTTTTCAAGTCTCTGCTTGTGTCACTTTTGCTATTGTCCCAGTGACCAAATAAACTGTACAGCCAAGCCTAGAGACAGAATAGAAAGTGAACACCAAAGATGTAGATAAAGAAAGTAGCAAGTTAATACAGCCATTTTTGCAAAACTATCTACCACACTATTCTAGAACAGAAAAATAAGAACAATATATTTTATTTTTTATAATATCCAAAATGAAGTAATCTTATTAAATATCAATCTTTAATATTATTTCCATGAAGCAGTTGACCTTACTCTTATTTCTAACAATACCTGGTAAATAGTAGATGCTCAAGATATGCTTGTGAAATGAATAAATAAGCAAATGAATGAATAAATATGTGAATGTACAAAATAAATGAATTTCAGACTCAGATGGAGCATCCAAAGTCCTAACCCTTCTTTCCTATCTCCATCCACACATATATTCCTGTCATTCCAGAGGTCATTGATTTAGACACTTGAAAAAATTTAAACACAACCTTTATCTCAACACTGGATTATCTGTTTATTCTTCTAGGAAACTGGAATGACAGCTACAAATCCCAGGAAGAAAGATTCAGACATTTACTATATGAAAATTTTTCCTGCTGGCAGGGCTGGAGGAATGCCAACACTCAGATATTTGAGAATGAGAACTATGAGGAAACTATTCAAAGGAAAGATTCCAAAGACCTAAAGCAGCAAGACCTTTCTCAGTGTCAAGAATGGTTAATACTCTCCACACAAATACCAGGGTATGGGAACTATGCACTGACTTTTGAAGGCAAAAGTCCCAGGAACTTAAAATATAAAAATTTTATACCTTGGCAGTCCTTAGAAACAAAAAACACTCAAGACTATGGTAGAGAAATCTATGTGAGTGATTCCCATGGTTTACAAGGGGGCAGATACCATCTTGGCATATCCAGGAAAAACTTCTCCATTGAAAAGGAACAGAAGCTCTTAGTTCAGCATTCTTGTATCCCAGTGGAGGAAGCCCTTCCAGAGTACGTTGGGGAGACGTGTCAAAATAACCTACTGAAAGACTCAATGGAAGACAAATACTGTGGATGTAACAAATGTAGAGAAATTTATTATTGGAACTCACAGTGTATTCTCAAGAGAAAACAGCTTGGAGAAAACCTCTATCAGTGTTCCATCAGCACAGCATTCTTCTCCCAGAGATCAGACTTACATAGACATCCAAGAATCTACATAGGTAAGAAGCTGTATGGATGTGATGAAGTAGACAGTAACTTCTGTCAGAGCTCAGGAGTTCACTTTCATCAAAGAGCCCACACGGGGGCTGTGCCTTATATCTGTAATGCGTGTGGTAAGAGCTTCAGTCAGATCTCTCGTCTTGATAATCATCAAAGAGTCCACACAGAGGAGAAACTCTATAAATTTGAATGTGATAAGGACCTAAGTAGAAATTCATTACTTCACATTCACCAGAGACTTCACATAGGAGAGAAGCCTTTTAAGTGTGATCAGTGTGGTAAGAGTTTTAGTCGGAGTTCAGTACTTCATGTTCATCAAAGAGTCCACACAGGCGAGAAACCATATAAGTGTGATGAGTGTGGTAAGGGCTTCAGTCAGAGCTCAAATCTTCGAATCCATCAGTTAGTACACACAGGAGAGAAGTCCTATAAATGTGATGACTGTGGCAAGGGCTTTACCCAGCGTTCAAATCTTCAAATTCATCAGAGAGTGCATACAGGAGAGAAGCCTTATAAATGTGATGACTGCGGAAAGGACTTTAGTCACAGCTCAGATCTTCGCATTCATCAGAGGGTCCATACGGGAGAGAAACCCTATACTTGTCACGAATGTGGAAAGGGGTTCAGCAAGAGCTCAAAACTTCACACTCATCAAAGAGTACATACTGGGGAGAAACCCTATAAATGTGAAGAGTGTGGCAAGGGATTCAGTCAGCGTTCACATCTTCTCATTCATCAGAGAGTCCATACAGGAGAAAAACCATATAAATGTGATGATTGTGGAAAGGGCTTTAGTCACAGCTCTAATCTTCATATTCATCAGAGGGTCCACACAGGAGAGAAGCCTTACCAATGTGCTAAGTGTGGTAAAGGTTTTAGTCATAGCTCAGCTCTTCGAATTCATCAAAGAGTCCATACAGGAAAGAAATCTTATAAATGCCATGAGTATTATAAGGGATTTGATCAGAAGTCACATCTTCACAATAATAGAAGAGAAAGTTTATAAATATTATTCATTAACAGGTGTAATCAAAGTTTAACCTTTAAACTCAATATATGGAAGGAAATCCTATAAATAAGACAATCTCATACAGCATTTATAGTTTGCTCTAACTCCTACTAAGAATTATTTGCTTCAAGAGGAAATCCTTAAGAGGATATCTATATATTTAAAATTAAAGGGTATTTTCTTTACCCACTATAAGTATAATACATAGTCATTATAAAATATATTAAAAATTTAAGGAGAAAACTTCCTCCTGTTTCATTCTAGTCTTTTTTTCTGTGCATTTTGGTGTGCATGAAATTATTCTGTGTGTGTGTTCAACTTTTTATTTTCACTGATTTCAAAACATTTGCTCAAATTTCGGTTTGAATCGAAACTAGCTAGCCATCTTTGACACAACATCTCTTGATTCCCCTGTAGTCTGTAGGAAGTCACAGAAAAGGTAGAAACACAAAACTTGCAACTTAAACTGGTAGATAACCTATTTGCTCAACTATACGGCCACTATATGGCTAACTATAAGGCCAATAAAAGTCAATTGTTTATGAAACAAAAGCCACTTAATAAAAGATAGGAAAACATTGTATGAGCTTGTATTTGAGATATCTGAGTATATCTTAAAGATGTTATCTCTGTCAAACAGAAAACTCAGGGACCTTCCTTCTGTTGCATGGGTGCTGCACTTTCAGGTAACCACAATGTACTCTCATCCTTTCCCCAGTTTTCCACATTTATTCATAGTTTCAGACACAAAGTAACAAGAAATACAAAATTTAGTTTCTCTAAAATGTGAAAGGTATGGACAAAAGTTGATATTAATGAATGCTAGCAACAAGATACTCCATTGGTTCAGAATCAGGGATTCAAGCAGAATTTTATTTAATCTCAGTAGAACAGAGTGGTAATAGAGAAATATCTGCTAGGAACAGAATTGAAGTCAGAGCTACGTACAACAATGAACCCTCAAGATAATTATGTAAGAAGAGAATTTATTATAAAAATATAGAAGAATCAATAGAAATAGAGTACCAACTATTGATAGGAAATATGCTTAGGTAATACTTGCCAAGAGTGGACCTGTTTAGGGAAATAAGAGGGAATTTCAATATCAACAAAAGGAATATCATCCTCAAGACTTAGAAATATATTACCCTGAAAATTAGCTGATTAAGGCTCCAGAGGAAATATTTTAAAAAGTTGGTATCCCAAGTAGCATAACAGAAAACCTGAACTAAAAAAGCAAGAATAGAAATCCACAGGTAGAGAAGAGCCTCTGAAATAGATATAATGAAGAAGGACTTCACTGAAATTAAAAATGCTACATCAAAGGCAGTAAAGAGTAAAATTAACATTGCAGAGTATCAAATGTTGTAATGAATAAACTTGAGACAATCTTAAATGTCTAAGAAAAAGAGATGGAAACAATGAGAAAAGATAGATGTAAAGAGCAGAGAATGGAAGTCCAACATAAGAATTAAAGATGTTTCTATAGAAGGTAAAAAAGAACATTTGAAATAGAATCAATGATCAAAGACATTAAGAAATTTTTCCTGAATTAAAAGCATATCTCACTAGATTTCAGGCAAAACCAACATAAAAACAATCTTAGAAACAGCCTAGGAAAAAAAGGAGCAATTGAAAGCATGCAGAAAGAAAAATTATAGTTTATCTACAAAACCAAAATGGAGGATGGATACCAACATCTGCAACAGGAACTCAGAAGACAATGCAACAGCACCTTAGGATTCTGAGATTAAAAACGTCTGTTATCACTTAATAGTTTAATCAACAAAATTGTCTTTTATATATGCAGGAAACAAGTATTTTATAGATAAGCAAGAAAACAGCCTATCTTTCATGTTCCTTTCTTAGTTCATGAATGTGAAAGTCATATTATAAAAGGAATGGTAATGAGCACTAAAATCAGTTAAAGAGTTAAGTCTGAATAGTTAATTTGTTTACAAAACTTTAAAAAATGTAAACAGTTGTACAAGAAAATATACAAATGCTATGTATGTTGCTGCCCAACCAGGTTCATATGTCAGCTGCCCAAGAGGAAGACGATACGCTGAGTCAGCAGAGTTTACAAAGCAGAGAAAGTCTTTATTCCGCATAGCGCTAAGCAGGGAGATGGGAGAAATTTCTCAAATCTGCCTTCCTGGGAATTTGGGAGACGGTTTTTAAGTGTAGTTTGGCAGGTAAGGGATTAGGCAATTAGGTTTGTTAATTGGGACAAAATTATAGAGGTGTAGATATCATAGTATTGTTTCAGTCCCTAGGGTCACAATTCCAGTTGAGTAGATTTCTTGGTATGGGCTGCTGGTCCATTGGATAGGTCAACTAATCCACTGGAATGCGGAGCCTGGAAGATATTTTTCAAACTACCTTTAGGTTTCAAAACAGTGATGTTATCTATGGAGAAAGTTCAGAATCTTTATGGACAGCAGCCATGGGGAGAAAGTAAAGAATCTTTATGACCACCAGCTGTGTGGCTCTGGAGAAACAAACAGGGAGAGTTACTAATTATTATTATTATTAACTTGGCCTGTGCATTATTTTTAGCTAGGCCCTTACCACAGTTCTTGCCTCATGCCCTGTTATTGATTTGTGAAAAAGGCAGTTTCAAATATAAAAGCAGATTATATATAAGAGCATGGGTGTTGGAAAAATAGGGTTGCCAGGATATCCACTAAGTTTGAATTTCATATAAGAATTTTTAGTGTACCTCCCAAATATTGCATGGGACTTACACTAATAATTTATTTGAAATTCAAATTTAACTCTGGATATTTTGTGTTTTTATTTGCTAAATCTGGCAGTTCTATGGAGGAGGGATAGCAAAAGAAAGTGCTACATTTCTGATCTTAAATAGCAGAGACCAATAATAACATTTTCTTCTTAACAATTTAAGAAAGGTCTAACTTTTTTCTCAAACTTAGAAATTGCAATAATAGAACGAAAAGAAGTTCATATACTTTTCAAAACAAGGGAGAAGATAAAAGCAAAAAATAGTCTCTATAGCAAAGATAATACAAAAAATCTCAAGAAGTTGGCCTAAAAAATTAGGATGAATCAAGCTGAAAGAAGGCCAAATTTATCAAAACATGTTAAATGCCTTATTGAAAATTCTGAAAACACAGATTGGGATAAAATTTTAATTACATCTTATTACAAAAGAAAAGATTAAAGTAAAATGATATTGATTAAATATGAAGCTAGGCAAGGGTTTTAATAAATATAAAGAAGAATCTACAATATATATATATTTTTTTATTTCCGCATATTATGGGGGTACAGATTTTAAGGTTTCAATAAATGCTCTTCCCCCCACAAGTCTGAGTCTCCAGCATGACATCCCTCAGATGTGCTCATATCACTCGTTATGTATGTATATACCCGCCCCCCCCCAATACCCTATTACTGTAGTACCTATGTGTCCACTTAGGTGCTACTCAGTTAATACCAGTTTGCTGGAGAATATATCTGGTGCTTGTTTTTCCATTCTTGGGATACTTCACTTAGTAATATAGGTTCCAGCTCTAACCAGGAAAATATAAGATGTGCTATATCACCGTTGTTTCTTAGAGCTGAATAGTACTCCATGGTATACAATATATTTTTTAAAGTTAAAAAATTTGAACTAATTAAACCCATAAGGTGGGTAAAAATACAAAATCAATAGTTTCCTAGACTGTTATAATAGAAAATGGAATGGGTGGAAAGTATCTGTTTTTTAGTAACATTAACATTTTTTAAAAAGGCACATAAAGGTACAGAATAAAAATGGAAAAAATTAATTAAGAATCATAAAAGAGGACTTGAATAGGGAAGTTTTACAATTTTCCTAGAGGAGATATTCCTAAATTAATTTATAGATTTCAAATCTCATGAAAATCCCAATGAAATTTGAAATAAAATTCTAGAAAACTAGATGTTGAAGCAAAGATAATTATAAGAAAGCTTAATGAGATGGCACTAACATAATAATTGCTATATTAAAGTTATAATAATGGAGAACTTGTGTATTTAAAAAAATTTTAGAATTGAGTCACTAAATAGCTTAGAAATATACCAGTATATGGATTATATATGTGTATATAACATATAGTATATGTAGCACATATGCTTATATACTTCACATGACAAAGATCTATAAACAGGAGAAGGATTATTCAGTAAATGGTGCTGGGATGATTAACTTTTTGGTGAAAAATAAAATTAGGCTTTCATCTCATGATCTACATCATAATAAAATATACATTGATTAAAACACAAGTTTTAAAGTTGTATTCCATGGACCTCCATATGGTTTCATGAAGACTGGTGCTCAGAAAGAACCACAAATTTAGCCCCATTTTTATCTGTTTCATATATAAAAATAACATGTTTCATTTTTTTTTTTAAAAAAAAGGAGGGTCCACCCTTTAAACATTTAAAAATGTTTAAAATTCTCTACAGTGGATTTTTATATGGTTGAAAACATATGCATTTTTTAAAAGTTAGATGAAAGAACTCAGAAAAAATACCTAGGAGTCTGACTGCATAAAAATTTTAAAACTGTGTGTCAAAAACATGGAACTCAGAAGACAATAGGAAATATATTTTCCATGATTATGATGGTATAAACTTTTATAAATTAAGTGGACACCTTGTTTAAAAAACTGACAAAGGGCATACACAGAAAAGCAATGAAATATCACTTTTAACAAAAATGATAATAGCTGTTTTCAGTGAGCATATGGAGTGATGTATACTTATACACTACTTATGATGATAATAAATTGATACAGACTTTTTGGAAAAGCTATTTGGCCAATCATAAGCCTTAAAATTATTCATACTCTTTGCTACAGCAATTCTACATCTAGGAATATATACTATGAAAATAGAGTTTCACTGTTTTAGAGAACTTTGTAAAGAATAGAGATCCACTCAAGCTATCTCATGTAAAAAATAGGATTATAGATTATTAGGTAGTAGAATGTCACAAAAGAAAATCCAAGGACAGAAATTTCACGGGAACTTCCTCTAGGAATCTATCAGATAATGAAGCTACTCTTCCAAGAAATTGTTTCTCTTTAGTATCCTTTTTTTTTTTTTTGAGAAAGTCTCATTAGCTTTTTAGTTCTGATAGCAGAAGTCTAAAATTAGTTTCACTTGGCTAACATCAAGGTTTCTGTACAGCTGGTTTTTTTCTGAAAACTTTGAGGGGAAAAACTGCTTATTTTTTGTATATTTTAGAGACAGTGTTTTGCTATATTGCCCAGGCTGGTCTTGAATTCTTGGCCTCAAGCAATATTCCCACCTTAGCCTCCCAAGTAGCTGGGACTATAGGCATAAGCCACCACACCCAACAAGAACCCACTTCTTGCTCCTTCCAACTTCTCATGGCTGCCAGCACTTCTTGGCTTGTGGCCACATCACTCCAATCTCTGCTTCTATTATCACATTGCTTTCTCTTCTGTTATAAAAATCTCCATTTGCTATATGATTATATTCAAGGCCCACAATATTCCAGGATAATCTCCCCATCTCTAGATCCTTAATTCAAACACATCTACAAAGTTCCTTTTTCCATATGAAAATATTCAAGGATTCCAGGGATTAGGATCTGAACACATATGAAGGGCCATTATTCAGCCTACCACACTAGTGGATGAGTCATTAGTAGTTATAGCTTTGTATGTGAGTTTATTTTTATAATATTAAATTTTTGTGTGCTTATGTGATTTAGGCCTTCTAATAAGGGAGTTTATATACTACACATACAGATTTGTTTTTCATATGTCCAGTTTATCCCCCTCTTGTTAAACTGACTCAATGTCTTATGGATATTATTAGGCTCTATGGCTAGACTGCTATAACAAACAAGAGCTTTCAGTTGATATATTAATGGTAATAGTTCAAGAGAAAAGATTTTTTAAAAAAAGGACTCACTTATAAGAGTATCAAGATAGCAAAATTTCCCTGTTCTTACATGTTTCTACTGATCATCCTACCAGTAATGCCTATACTTAGTTGAAGAAGAAAGGAAGAGTTTATAAAGGATAGAATTAGGTGTCCAGTATAGAGACGGTGCTCATCAGATCTTTTATTCACTTACTCTTCTTTCCTTTGCTCTGAAATGATTTGAAAAATTATTAAATACATTGACTTCCTTTTGAAGATCATAATCTCTTACTGAGAACTGATGTAAGGGTATATGCTAGACACTGAAACATAAGATAGAAAACATCCAGTTGGTGGCCAGTAGTAGCTTGCAGTGTACAGAAAGGTAAATATGAAGGTAAAGAATTGTAATCAAGGGACAAAAGTTAAAACAAATAAGTGAGTAATTCGATATAAGAGGGTTAAAGGACCTTTCATAGAAAAGGTAAAACTAACTGGAGCATTATTTTTAAGGGTAAATAAATATCAGATTAACAGGGAAAGTGGTATAAAAATGTAGGTTTTTTTCAGATTTGTACTGTATGTCAAAGCCTGTTTATCATCTGTACTAGTAGCATCTGAATGGTTTATAAAGTCTATTTTGGGGAGTCTAAACTCTCATTCTTATATTTCTTTTTTTATTGCAGATATTACTTACTTCCAACAATTTATTTAATAAATAGTGATTGAGCACCTACTATATATCTGGTCTTGTTGCAGGATCTATGGACAAAATAGTAAATAAAACAGATGTAAATCATTGCCTCTATCAAGCTTAACTTCCTGAGGGAGAGGCAGACAATAAACAAGATAAATTAAGAAATACAAAATTATATATATGAGATAATAAGCACTAATGGGAAAAATAAGACAAGAAATTGGACTTGAAAAGAGTCGGGTAGGTGATAAGAAAGTTTGCAGTTTTATAGAGTGATCAAGGATGGCCTCACTGAAAGAACATTTGAGGAAAGATCTAAAAGAAGTGAGGGAGCAAGTGAGCCATGGAGCTATCTAGAGAGAAGGAATTCTGTGTCAAGAGTACAGCAAGTGCAAAGACTCCATGGCTAGGAATGTACCTCGAATGCACTACAGCACAGTAACAGAGGAGGAAAATAAGGGATGACGTTAAAGGTAATAAGGGACTTATATGTCGTTGTAAGGGCTTTTACTCTGAGTGAAACGAAAAGTCATCAGTGGGGTTTAAGTGACAGAATCTAACTTAAATTTTAATAGGCTTACTCTGAAAGCTATGTTAAGAGCTGAATGAAGGTAGAGGCAAAGCAGAGATTCAAATTAGGGGGTACTGCAGTAATCCCTAAAAGAGATCAGGTATTAACAGTGTTAACAGTGGAAGTGAGAGAAACAATCAAATTTTGGATATATCTGGAGTATAATGAATATATCACAAGGTAATTTTAAAACTAGACTTTAGGTAGTATCTTAATAGGTAAAAAGAATGCCAAAATACAGACAAGAATGATTTCTTGTAAAAACTTACAGTTGAGCACATAGCGTTTTAGGGACAGTGAAATCAGCCTATCCAGATTAATGATTTTATGTTGGGTTTTGAGCTACTCTTAAGGACTAGAGTTTTTTCATCTTAATAATATAAAGCTCAACTTGTGCCACGGGAATAGTCACACCCAACTTTGGGTAGTCAGGGTAGGCTTTCCAGAGACAGTGGTTCTAATCTTAGACCAGAATAAGTTGTAATAACCTGAGAGGGAGGAAAGGAGGGGTAAAAGTGTTTCAAGCAAAGTGAGCAAAATGCAAAGTGTTAGGAATAAATATAGCCTAGACATTAAGGGCTAGTCTTCCTGGGATTGGATGAATTTTTGAGATAGGGTACAGGTCAACAAACTTAGAATCATTGAGTCAGTGCAAACTGGGAGTTTACCATCAGCAATTCTGGTAATAAAAGTATCAGAATCAGGCAGATCCTGTCAGAAACACCTATCAAATTGATTGGTTAAATCCTAATAGCTATTGAATATTGTGCTAGCTATGCAGAGGCTGAAAAACTATGTGATCCAGTCCAAAAGGCACTACTATGGTGTGTTTCTGTTCATCTAAGCAGGACCTAGAATTTAGAATACAGACCAGGATGACTACACGTATGGGTGTCTTTCACTGAACACTGACAAATGAATTAGAACATTCTTTGAAATAGTTTACTATCAGCACAGTGGCTGAAAGATCTGCAAGACTCACTGGGGTTTGATCCAGGATCAAATATAGATTGGAACATTTGACATGAATGTGAAACACCTGGGACCAGAGATTTAATATGTTGCTTTAAACACCAGAATGAGCAACCTATTCAGTTAAGATGGCTAATTAAAGCCTGGAGTCAACCTTGGCCCACTGCTAATAACATCACTTCTCTGGTGCATCACAGAGAAAGGTGTCGAAAGCTCGAGGGTGATCGAATACTGGAATGAATTTATTAAAGATTTAAGAGATGTCTTGAAAGAGGATCAAAGGCATCCTTGAAGAGCTCTGTGGTGTCTGTTTTCTATAGGCTGCAGATGATGGAGAAAACTGCTGCAACAGAAATGGGCTTCCTGATCTTTACGGTTATCGTATAATTCCAGAGTACCAGAGACAAAGGGGCATAATTACTAACAGTAAGTTACAGGGGAGGAGAAGTAATCAGTATTTTGATCTAGAGTAAACTGTGGCAATGACAACTTGGTTACAGCTCCTTAAAAATGAAATAGATGGCCTATTAAGCCACTTATTGATATATTAAATATTTAAGTATAAGGAAGAGACCCTGGGTGAGGTGCTTGCCTCATCCCTCAGTGATTGATGCTGAGTGGAAAAATCTGGTGGTTCTTGTCCTGCACTCATTCTTGCTTGCTCAGGTTGAATTCTGTAGCTACTTGCTCCCCCTTTATAGGATGGATGCCTGGTCTTTTTTTCAACTCTTGTTGCTCTTTCCTTGTAGAGACTGTGCATTCTGTGTCACCCTCTGGAGCAGCACGCATTCTAGCAATTTTTTGAATCCTTAACTCCTATTCCCTCCCATGTCTTTTAAAAGGTTCTCAATAAATGTCGTCAAATTGGTCCTCCAGAGAGTTATTACTTACCTTGCCACTCGCTAGTGGTGTGTTACATTTCTTGACAGTCCCACTACAACTGAGCATTACTATATCTTTTATATGTTGTCTATCAGCTCAAAATGTGATCTTTTTATTAGCAAAAATAGAACTTTTCCCATTTATCTTTGGAAAATAGTTAATTTTTAGACTAGTTTTCCACAGCATGTTCAGCTTTTCAAAATAACATCAACGTAGTATACATTTTCATATATTTAATGCATCTGCATTACATATGTTAATATTGAGTTAAATATTTTTTCCACACATTTGAAGTGACAATTTATGATATGCTAAATTCTCATTAACACCTAGGTCTAGTTACAATCAATTCTCACTGATTCCAATTCCTTGGTGACTATCACACTAAGTTACTAGTAATGTTCCATTGCCCTTTTAAAAAATGTTCACAGCTATTTTTTTATTTCTACAAAATAAACTTTATAATCGCTTTGTCAAAACCTCCCAACTGAATATTTGATTAGAATTTTTCTTTAATAGTTTAATGTGGGGAACTCAACATCTCTACAAAAGTCTTCCACTCTGGACATCTTTCCAACTTATTTTTTTGAGGAAAGTGGGTAAGTGTAACATTTTTGAATTCATTTATTAAATCCAATGGTTTTTCAACTTATTTTATTTGGGCAACTTTATCATCAGCAAATGATTTTCTCTTTTCCAATTTGTTTTCCTTGTCTCATTTCAATTAGCATTTTCAGCTAAATAATTGTGGAGTTAATAAGAACTTTCTCTCTCACCATTACCCTTAGGCTGAAGTCTGAACTTCTAAGGTGGCTTATAAGCCTTCTCGTGACCCGGCCTTTGAGTCTTTCCAGCTTTATCTCTATGTGAGGTGAAAGCTTCATTTTTTGCCAAAGCCAGTGAACTTTACCTGAACATGCCATGCCCTCATTCCTCTGTACTCCTTGTTTTTCATTTCTCTCTTCTAACATGCCCACCCTCTGCCACACACAATCTAGCTAGTCTGTACTTTTTCTTCATGTTTCAGCTTAGATTTCTGCCTTTGATGGTATACAGTAAAATTCAAATATTTATTAGTGGGCTTATGGAACAAGACTGGGGGAAGATGTTAATTGGCTGTAAATGTTATGACAGAATTAAATATTAAATGCACTCTATAAAGGTATTTGAAGCTACGTTATAACTTAGTGAACATAGTACACAGGTTTTTTTAAAGAAAGCTTAGAGATTTAGGAGGAAAAAAATAAGCATTTTACTTAGACCCAAATAGTTGCCGAGAGAAAAGATTAAAACAATACTTTTACCTTTGGACCACCCCAGAAAAAAAATCACAGCTGATAATGGAATACCTAAAATAAAAAGATTACATACATATATTTAGAGATTACATACATATATTTAGAGATATATTTAGGGTGCTGTGACACAATCATAGCTCACTGCAACCTCAAACTCCTACAAACATATTATATTTAACATGTCATAAGTGCTTTGATGAATGAACTACACCTCAAGAATTTTTTACATTGTTAGGATCTGCTAAAATTGACCTTATATTTTTATCTGAATTTCCATATTAATTACCTATGTAGGGTTTTGTCCTATTACAACTGGTGTTATTACATGAAGGATGAACAAATAATTTTCCACATTAGCTAATCATAGGAATTTACTCCAGTGTACCTTTTCTTCATTTGAATAAGGTATCAACTCTGACAAAAAGCCTCCGTCATTCATTGGGAATGTCTCCAGTATGAATTTTTTTGGTCAGATTAAGTCATGCTTGTTGGCTGAAGGAAGCATTTGGGATCCTGAGGTAGATTACAGAAAACAGTTCTGGCACACAAAGTATTATATACTAGGACACTTTATTGACCTCATTATGTCTGGGATAAATGATGGACCTAAGGCTATGTGTATCTCTTCAGCCAAGATTCCAAAGAGCACATTAAGTCCTCACTTAATGTCATCAATAGGTTCCTGGAAACTGCGACTGATTATAACTGATATATAATGAAATCAATTTTACCATAGGCCAATCTAAACAAGGGTTAATTTCCTATGCCTCATTTCTGATCACAAAAACATCAAACTTATAAAGACCCCAAATACTTCTAATATTAAACACTGAAATAAACGTGATCTATTCAAGAAAGATGAACAGAAACAAGATGATTTACTCTGTGACGGTCCAGAGTTTTGGGTGTCTGAAGCCTATCTTGGCAGCTCAAGACACTATTCCATTGCAGAGTATACCCACACTTGCTCAGACTGGGATCACTTAGACACAACAATAATGAACCTAATGTGCACATCTTTGGGATATGGGAGGAAACTGGAGCATCCAGAGAAACCAAGTACACATGGTGAGAACATGCAAACTCCAAAGGCACTGGCCAGGATTAGAATTTTTTTTCTCATTAATGTTAGAACAAAACAATGTTGAATAAAAACTTATTGGAGGATCTGCTGCACTTTGAAAAATGTAGATGTCAAGAATACATATAAAGAACACATCCTTCTCCCACTGCAGTTGACAACACTATCCTAATTCTAGTCTAGACCTTGGCATGAGGTCAGCCAAGGATATTGTCTGGGGTGGATTAAATGGCTGTCATTGTGGTCTTTGCCATTAGAGATTTCAGTCCTTATAAGTGTTCTCCTATATTCTCATGAGCTCCTGACTTCTTGTGACCTTCTTATAAAGACTGAGAGTTTGAGTTTTATTAAACATAAACTCCAACAGTATTGCTTATCTCCTCTCTAATATCTTCTTCATCAATAAATCAGATGAATGTTATAGGTCCCATTTATGAACTAGGAAATGATTAGGGTACTTGATATCAAAATAATGACAAAGAACTTGTATGGTGATACTATGCTTAGCTCCAAACCCTTGTGGCTTCATTTGGGAGCCAGGAACTCTCCCTCAGATTTCTATCCAGTAACAGGTTTCTATCAATATTAATTTTGTCATATTGAAGAATAACCTTTGACAAATGTTTTATTATATTCATGGGATTCCTCGCAGTATAAGTGTATGGATGTTGAATGACTGAAGGTAATACTGCATTTCTTCCTTTTTCAGGACTTATCGAGTATGAAGTTTTTGATGTTTAACAAGGTTTGAACTCCTGTTGAAGGTTTTCTCACATTCCTTACATTTGAATGGTTTCTCTCCTGTATGAATCAACTGATGTCGAATAAGGGAGGAGCTCCGGTTGAAGGATTTTCCACAGTCGATACATTCATAGAGATTATCTTGAGAATAGCATTTTGGGTTTTTATTATCTTCACTCGTACTGAAGGCTGTTTCACATTTATTGCCTTTATATGCCTCTGCTTTAGCATGAAGTTTTTGATGCTTAGAAAGGTTTGTACGTCGGTTGAAGAATCTCCCACATTCACTGCATTTATAGGGTTTCTCTCCTGTGTGAATGATCTGATGTCGGATGAGGGATGAGCTTCTGTTGAAGGCTTTTCCACACTGATAACATTCATAGGAATTCACTGTAGTATAGCATTTTGGGGGCTGAACAATCTCTGTACTCAGGCTCAAGGCATTAACATATTCATTATATTCTGAATGTGGCTCACTTACTGAATTAAATCTGAAGTCAGTTTTAAACTGATCACACTCTGGGGACCCCTTCCATATAGGAATTTCTTGCTGTATATCACAAATTGAGTTAATCAAGTTAACATCAAAGCTTTTCTTGTTTTCATTACATTCAAAGTCTCCTTCCTCAGTGCAGATTGTCATAGGAATGAAAGCTTCTGGTGACAAATTTATGTCCTGGTTTTTCTGGTTCCCATATAACCAATCCTCACTTTTCCAGACATCTAATGAAGAATGTTCACTTTTGGTAAGCCTTGTCATAATCTCTCCATGGGATGATTCTTCTCTAGAAACTCTCTGCTCTGGAACTGAATCCTGGTTTTCTGAAACAGTCTTAATGTCTAAAAAGAAATAAAAAAAAACCATGAACTATAAGGGAAACTATTTAATTAGGAAAGGGCAGCTAAACCATATAAGGGTATATGTATACACCATCAGTCTTAAATACAGAATGAAAATGTTAGATGAGGTTAAAAAAAGACTTAGAAATAAATAGTATAAAAATGTTAAAAAGGGGATTAGGAAATCATAAAATATAAAGAGAGCTATTCAGGAATATTAAGGAGGGCTCAGGTAAAGTATTAGTTCATGAATTAGGATGAGGTGGTATATCATAATTTAAGCTATCACTGGCTCAATAACTAGTCTGTAAAGTTTCTACCTAATCTTCCTTTCTCTAGCATTTTCTTTTAACTCATTGTTTACCAATAAGCCTTCCCATATATAGCGATTTAATCATAACTTTAAATACATGTTTATATTTCCAGCCCCCACACCTTAACTAGCTAAAAGCAAACTTACAATCAGAGCACTCCTATTTTCCATACAGCTGCACTTATTCCCCATATGTAACAAAAGCAGAAAGAATATTAAAGTAGCAGGGAAATCATCCTTTTTCTGGACTCAAAATAACTCCTGATTTTACCATTAGTACCTTGATACTTTTCTACTGTACTTGCTAGAACTCAAACCTTTACCTATTCTGATTAAGGCCAAGTTCTCTTCCTTTCTCCTGTCCTTAGTTTCTGTTTCTCATTTAATATTCATTTCCCTTCTCAAAATTCCTTTCTCACTTAGCTTCTATATAAACATACTCAGTATACTATACACTCTAGCAATTTTTAAAAATTAAATTTCACTGACTTCCCTTTCTCCTTTTCCATGTAACTTCAGATATGATTTTATCCTTCATGCTTTATTGATAGTCAAATTACAACTTCAGCTTTGCAATCACATGTTACTGTTCCTTATTGACACCTCCACTTAACTACCCTACAAATGAGACACTACAGTTATCTTCCATGTTGAAAGAACTTCCTTCAATGTCTTCATTTTTGTTCAATGAGTCATTGTTCTTCTGATATTTATACTAGAGTCCATAAAAAAGCTTGAACAACTATTCCTTTATCTCTCACATTTAATCTGTGCTTAGGTACTATTATTTTATTTTATATTTTATAAAATTTCCTATTTCTTTCTCACCAGTGTACATTAGGTATGTGGGGCAGATACCTTGTCCCTTTCATTCATAGGTCTTCCTTATAAGAAGTTCTTCTTCCAAACCTGCACCTAATTTAGATGATGAGATCCTGGACTTCAAGCTTGATGTTATAATGGGGTCTTAGGAGAAAGTAAATATATTTTACAAGGGGGAAGAACAGAGATAATTTATGACCACAGGACTGATTATGGTAAATTAAAATGGTTACACGTTTTTTGCCTCTCTCCCTACACAGAAGTAGAGTTTGTTTTTCTTCCTCTTGAAACTGGGCTGATCCTGTGACTGCTTAGCTAACAGTATGTGGCAGAAGTGATACCATGCCACTTCTGGGCCTACCCTTTAAGAGACTGACAGCTTCTGATACCTCTTCTCAAGGTATTTCCTCTTAGAACCTTGCTGCCATGCCATGCTCTGAGAAGCCCAAGCCTGTGGTGCTTTAGGATCCACGCTACTAGCTGAGTTCCCTGGGACAGCCAGCATTAACTTCCAACCATGTGATGTGCCACCTTGGACACTCCATCCATTTGAGCCCCTGCAACATTGCAGCCCCACCAAACATCATATGGAACATAAGAACTCCTCAATCAATTTGAGAATTAATTTGAGAATAAGATGACTGCTCTTTTAAGTCACTGTTTTGGGGTAATTTGTTAGAAGCAATAGGTGACTAAAACAGTTGTTCCAGAAGTATTAATAGCAAAATTCCTAATAGTATTTCCCTAAGTAAATCTTTGGTGTTCTCATGTTTGTACAACTCATTTTTCATGTAACTTCCTCACTCCTATTTTTAAAATCACTTTCATGTATTTTGTCATTTTCAACTCACTTAGTTCTGATCTGTAGGAAAGCTACTAATATTTTTAATATCTGACCACCTTACAAATAGAAAGTTATCATTTGCAAATAGCTTTCCCTCTCCTTTTTAAATAATAAATTTTTCATTTCTCATATATGGTTCATGTATTTTTCTTTCATTAGTTGAGTCTTTTAGGCCAATATTAAATAATTGTGGTTAACAGGCCACCACACAAAACTCTTAACAGATATAACAGTTTTGATAGTGAGTCTCTTGGATTTTTCTAAATAGAAAGTTATTGTATGCAAATGGTTTTTAGCTCTTTTCTAACATTTAATTTCTCATTTCTATTTCATTTATTTTTCTTTCACTGGTTAGGTCTTTCAGGTCAATATAAACGATTATGATAACAGACATTCTTATCTGATGATTGTAGTGCTAATGTTGTTTTAGCATTTCATACAATGTTAACCCCTGGTTTGTTTTCCTTTGGCTCTCACCAAATGGATGTCAAAGCATTGGCTTATTCCTCACCACTAATTCCAAACTCGCAAACTGTGCATTTTCTGTAAGATTTTGTTCCTGCCTGTAATATAAAACAAGAATAAACACTTAAAACCTTAGTCTATAACCCCAACTCTGAGTCTCTACCTACATCTTTCCTAGAGACCAGCTCATGCTAAATAATCTATCTCTGCCTGCCTTGGACCTATCTGAAAATTTCCCACAGTTACTCAAAAACAGTTCAGTGGCTTATCCATGCTTAAACACTAAAATCTCTAGGTTTTGACTAATTAGTCAGAATTCAGAAACCGCAAAGAAAATGGCTTAAAAAAACAAACCAAAATGTTAATACTGTCTAGTCTGGGTAGTGAGATAATAGGTGAGTTATGTTTCTCTTCATACTTTTCTATATTTACTAAAATTTGTATTAATCTCACAACAATTTTATACACTCTCACAAACAAAGCATTAACAAGAATAAAGAGAACATGATGAAGGTAGACAGTTAGGCACAAGAAGCTCTACAGTTAAAAAAAAAAAAAGGAAAAATGGAAGATTACTAGAAATCACTCTAATATAAAGCAGATTTGTTTCCTTTAAAAGAAAGAATAACATTTAATGTTAGGTTGACTATGTTTATGTAGCACTTACCTGACTCTAGGCAATAAGTGTGTTAGACACACCAATTCATTTCATCTTCACAATAACCTAGAGGTAGGCACTGTTATTAACTCTGTTACAGATGAGGAAACTGGCAGAAAGGCTGCCCCAGGTCACACAGCTTTAAGTTAAGTATCTGTGGTCCTAACCCATGATACTATTTTGTCATATTAGAAAAGGAACCTGTGAATAAAGGCAATGATGCTTTTTTTCCTCCATCAAAATTTAGGTAGTTTTGTTGTCACCTCTCCAACTAACATGTTATTTGAGGATTGTGTTGCCCATTGTGTGTTTAACAAATAGAAGTTCTTACGAATGCCTCATATCTTCTGCTTCTTACCCCAAACAATTCTCCCTGGAATTTCTTCCTCCATTATCCATCTTTTTTCTTTACTCTCCAACTCGGAGATCTCAACTGGTTTGGCAAGTAAATGTGCTGTTCATGGGGAAAATAAAAATCACAACAAACAAACATGACACTTCAGACATTTTTATAGGGAAGAGAATTCCATCCCAACCCAGTAGTCTAAGCTGCTGAAGAATAAAGCCAGAAGAGCACCATGAAAGAACTTTCAACCAAATAGAGTAGGTAAATCTTCTATTATGTGTCCAAAAGATATTAAGAAACCTGAACCCAGACCCCAAAATGAATTTAACCACTTCAGCAGTCCTATAGCTTTTTAAAATAGGAGACTACGAATGGACAGATTAGGTAAATACATAGAAGCCACCTTTATGCAACAAATCCAGGTTCCTGTAGTTTTCCAGCATCACATCCCTGTACAGGTTCTTTACATCAGGGTCTAGTTCCTCCCACTCTTCCTCGCTGAATTCCACAACCACATCCTTGAATGTCACTGGTTCCTAAAACATTAAGTTCCTTTTTTATCAAAAGTCACCCTTGAAGATATTATCAGAAGAGGAAAGAATTTGGAAAGAATAGGGGAGGAGCCAGAATATACAAGAAATTGATAGGACAATGTTTGGGGTTCTAAGTGATGAAATCAAATTATATTAAGGGACAATCAACTTGGTACTATACATACACCCTGAGGGCTACAAAAGAAAAGTGAATTGCAGTCCTTATTCCAGATTAGCTTACACTTTGGTTAAGGAGAAAAAGACAACTGAAGTAATTGTGCAACAAAAATTACTACAGCATACAAAGAATTTACATAATAGTTCAAAACAGAAAGAGTTTATGGTAGATTTCAGGGAAGTTTGGAATGAAAACACAGGTTCTGCTGAGAGAAGAGGTAGGGCATTTTCTGTAATTGGGAAACGCAGCCTGCTCCTATCATTCAGGACTCACAGCTCACTGTCAGCTTGTCTGACAGGCAAGGTTGCCTGATTACTCCAAGTAGCCTCCCTGCAATCAGTCTCTACTACATTATGTTTCTTTCTTTTCTAGTAATTACACTATCTGCAATTATCTTGTTTTCTTGTTTGTAGCTGTATACCTCCACTAGAATGTAATCTCCACAGGGCAGGGGTTTTGTTTACAAATCACTATTAGCCCTTAGAAAAGTATCTGGCATATTAGGCACTGCATAAATATTTGTTAATGAATAAATTGCCTCCTGTCTCCTACCATCAATCATTCCACTTCTCTCTCCAGCATCCTCAACCTTATCTTTATTGGCACCTTCAATCACACTGAGATATACAAATCTCTTCCTTTTGTCTCCTTTAGAGTTAGTTTTTGTGAATAAGTTGTCTACATTAGTTTTGCTTATTTCTTCATCTTCCCCTCTTTCCTCAACTCATCACAACCTGGCTTCTTTTCCTGTGCATGGTAGTATCTCCATGATGATGAGTAAACAGACATTACTTGAGCTTTATTATCTTGACCTTTAAAAGCATTTCTCTTTTAAAGATTCTCAACCTTTGGACATACTTCTCTGGTTTTCTTCTATGTCTTTGGTCCTTTCTTTTTAAGTATCATTTAAGGTTTCTTTTACTCCTGCCTAGCAAATGACACTGCTCAGAATTCTACCCTTGGGCCTCCTTCACTTTTAATTTTAAACATTCTGGAGTAGGCTCTATTTCTATCACTTCAATTATTACCTATATTCTTGACGGAACAGATAGAGTGTATAAGGCTAAGAGAAAATATTAATACTTTCCAAAGATGGTATTATCAACTAAAAGAGATGCAATGCCCTCTGAGAAAATAAGAATCTCATGTCCTTCAATGGAACTATGTTTGCAAAAGTTCAAAGATCAAAAAAGTAAACGCAAGTCATACTAAAAAAGAGCATACATTTCAAGTAAAGAGGAGAATCTTAACTCACCTGGAGTCTGCCTGTTAGTGACTCAGCTTCCATTTTCTCCTCCTGGATGCTCCCGTTTTGGAGGACAGAATCTTTGCAGAGTGTATCTGAAGAAGATGAAGGAAAACATCGAGGATACAAGTTTTGTCCTGGAGCAACTTTTAATGATTATAGCAGCTGCTGTAACAAGTTATTCACAGAAGTTATCTGTTAAACTTTGAAAAAATAACAACCCCAGGCCCTACCAGCAATTAGGATCTCTAAGGGTAGGGCTTAGATCTTATATTAATATTTTAAAAACACTCAAAAAGTGATTCTGATATTCTATCAGAAGTTGAGATCTCTTCAATCAGAGAAAGGTCCAAAATAGTATTTTCAGATTTCATCTGTGGTTATAGCAGATTCCAAAAAATAACTTTAATTTTGTCATAATTAAAATCTAATTACAGTTTAGCCACTGCAAGTTATAATTCTATTTGGACCTAAGAATATCTTATCCAATCAATCCCTTCTTCAAACACACCAGTGAGAATTCTATTCAAGGTTGTTTTCCTCTAAGTTGCTCTGTGTATCCTATATACAGATGTAAGTAAGTTGCCCATCTTGAACTACTGATTCTTTCAGGACATAAAATTCTGAAAGGTAACCAATTTTCTTCTCCAGCCCATTGGTGAGAAGTTTATCCAAGAGCCACTTGAGAAGTTTCTCCAAGATTAATGAGCTACATCAGTGATTCTCAAATGCCAGATTACGGACCAATACTGGTCTGTGAGGAAGTTTTCATTGATTCAGGGTAAAATGAGAAAAATATCCAGAAATAATGTAATAAGTTTGTTATAATATCACATTTATTCAATTTGAAGGACTATATTTTGAGGTTAAAATGTCTTTTATTTTGTGTAATGTGTTAATTAATGATTTAAAAAATGTTTAAAAAACAGAGGTGGCAAAACTACATTACCCCTATTCCCATTTTTTAAACTTTTAATGACCTTTAAAACTCCTCAAAATCTGAGAACCATGCAGTTACATAAAAATAAGCATTAATCCTCCATCATTAATGTACAATTGGATTCAAAGACAAATGAAACAACGGCATGGGGGATTTCGTAAAACGCATCCAAATTTCTCAGCAACATGCCATCTGAATGCTGCATAGATTATGGTCTGCTAACTTTACACAGACCTGTAACACCATGAGGAACCTCACTCTGCTCAGTACTTAGGATAGTCAATATGACGTTGTTCCTTATTCTTGTCATTCTTGGAAATGTGAGCTATCTTAGAAAAATACAAATACCTCCAGTCAGCTATTCTTTTACTGCTCTTTCTGAATTCCCTTTCCTTCCCTTACTACTTCCCTGCTGAACTTCTTGAAACTTTACAACCGTGTTCTCTGAAATTCTCATTCCATTCAAAGAAAACTCCACATACATTCTCAAGTTCTTTTTAGAATACTCCTTCTCTCCATCTCCCTCTCCTCGCCCTTTTTTTTTTTTTAAGCAGAGTCTCCCTCTGTTGCCCCAGCTACAGTGCAGTGCCTTTATCACAGCACACTGCAACCTCAAACTCCTGGGCTCAAGTGATCTTCCCACTTCAGCTGCCCAGGTAGCTGGGACTACAAGGCATGCACCACCACACATAGCTAATTTTTCTGTTTTTTGTAGACACAGGGTCTAGCTCTTGCTCAGGCTGGTCTCCAACTCCTGACCTCAAGCAATCCCCCTGCTTCCCATATTGGCCATGAAAGTCACCTCTTTGAACCCTCCAAGTACTATGATCTTGGAAGTTATTCTGATATACTTGTACCTCCCTATTCCTACTTCCTCATAATTTCTCTCATGCAAAAAAAGATTTTTAGAGGTTCATACTATTTAGCTATACCATCTTAATGTAACATTAAACTATTACACATTCATTCTTCAACACATTTACTGAATAATCTATAGTCACTATCACATTCCCACCTCCCACCTTCTATTATTTTTTTTTTTTTGAACTGTGTAGTGGGCAGAAAAATAGCCTACAATGATGTCTACACTCTAATCCTCAGATACGTGACAAAAGGGACTCTGTAGATGTGATTAAAGTCCAAGACCTTAGCATGAGATCAACCTGAATTATCTAGGTTGTCCCAATCTAATCACATGAATACTGAAACGTAGAGAACCTTTCCAGCTGAAGTCAGTGGTGGTGGGTAAGGGTAGGTGCGCAAACTATGAGAGCAGAATAAAGTGTCAGAGACATGGCAGTATATGAAAAGTACCTGGCCCACTGTTGACAGCTTTGAAGATGGGGGAAGGCGACCATAAGTCCCAGAAAGGAACACATTACTACAATTACTCTGATTTCAGCCTAGGGAGACCCAAGTTGGACCTCTGATCTACAGACTTATAGAATAATACATTCATGCTGTTTTAATCCAATATGTTTATGATAATTTGTTATAGTAGCAATAGAAAATGAACATAATCCATTACAAATAAGCACCCCCCCCAAATCCTCTGAAACTGCTTAAACTAGGTCTTCAAATTCCTTCACGATTTCAATAAATTACTTTCAATACACATCTTAATAGGACCTTTTTGTGGCACTGCTATTGAACACTTCCTCCTTGAAGATTCCTTCTCTTAGCTCAAACACCAATCTTTACTGATTCTTTGACCTCTAGATTATTCCTTTCTAGCCTGCTTACCTGGCTTTTCTTTTGCTCAGCTCATCATTTATATTTTCTTAGATAAAGACTAAATATAACCACAATACCAACATAATCACTGCCCCCAGTCAATAATTCCTTATCAAATATGCAACTGCCTTATGTCTTATAAGGTCTACACAGTCACGATTCTAAATCCCTTTGCCGTGCCCGTTCCTGCTTCCTTAGAAACTGTCTCATAGTTTCCCACAGTTTGGATTTTATGAATAGCATTATTGTGGTCTAGTTTACTATGTTCCTCTCTCCTCTACATTTCTTGTAGTTGGTAGTTGGATATTAAACAGCTCTTAAATATTGATGCTCTTTTACGATTTGTACATTTCCTACTTCTGCTCATACCTATAAGCTTCCAAATCTTCTCTTACTGAACACTACAGCCATACTGTTAACTTTATATTGGTTTATTCATTGTGGAAGTCCCACAGAGACCTCGGATTCAACATGCCATATAATTAATGTATTCTGCCCCGTCCACAAAATTTGCTACTTACATTCCATTCATGCAAGCCAGTACGTGTGAGTTTACGTAAAAACTTATCCTACTCATACCTTATCTAGTCAATAATTCCTTTCAGTTCAAACCCCTATTTTCCTAAAGCTCATTCTCTAATATCTAATCTATTTCAACAATCTCCTAACTGGTTTTCCTATTTTCAGAATCCTTAGGTCTCTCCTTTATATAATCTCCTTTATATAAATCAGTCAATTTTTTCCTATAAAGGTCCAGATAGTAAATATTTTAGGCTTTGCAGGCAATATAGTCTCTGCTACAAATACTCAACTCTGGTTGTAGCATGAAAGCAACATTATAGACAAAATGTAAATAAATGGATGTAGCTATGTTCTAATATAACTCCATGTTTTGCAAACTCCTACTCTACATTGATGCCAATGTAATATTTTTAAAAGGCAAATCAAACTATGTTACTCTGCTACTCAATCTATGAGATCTAATTCTCTATTTCTATTACCTACAGAATAAATTTTAGGCTTCCTAATAGAGTAATATAAAGTCCTTCATGATCTAGCTTCTCTGGCTTCAGAAAAAGATAACTTCCCTTCAGACAGAAATGGTCAAATATTCTAGCTCTAATTTTCTATGCTCTTACCTTCAACTTTAAGCATTTCAATCACATCTTCTATGAGGCTCACCACATCTTTGCTATTCTTTGGATGTTGTAAATTCACCCAAGTCCTGACTTCTTCAGGGAGGATTGCCAGGAATTGTTCTACCACCAACAGTTCTAGGATTTGCTTCTTTGTATGAATCTCTGGTCTTAGCCACTGAACGCAGAGATCCCAGAGTTGGCTCAGGGCTTCATGGGGCCCAGACACTTCCAAATACTGGAAATGTCTGAACTTTTGACGAGATGCCTCGGAGTCATGTGTCTCCACCATGGGGATGGTTTCCTGCTGCCAAGACACATCTGCTCTCAGAACCTCACTTTGTTCATGTAGAGCTAAGTTTTGAGGTTTGGAGATAGCCATCAACTTGTTCAGAAGCTGCATCTTCATTAGAACTCCCACTGTAGTCTAAATGTGTCTTACTAGAGAGTTCCAATAATTCTCAGGTTTGAGCTAAGCACCCGCGTACCATATGCAGTGTAACTTGAGACAAGTTCCAGGAACTTCAGACACAAAACCAATATTCAGCTACCTGAGAGACTGAAAAAAGAAGAAACATAACCCATAGGTAGCAAACATCTATTAGCATAGTGTTAAAAGATAAAAGAATATTATTAAAATTACCTAAGAAAAATGAATATGAAGTCATTCTATTTTTGTGTTTTTACCTTGGAAGAGAAAAGTGTTTTTCCTTCCTCCCAAAAGACAGAGAGAAACAAACACAAATAGACATTCCAAAACAAATGATAGAGGAAATAGTCCTTTGATTTAAAAAAAACTTCATAATTTAATTGCAATTAGATTTCTTCTGTATCAGTTAACAAGCCATTTTTGCTTTAAAACAAAGCAAAACAAATTTTGAGACAGGATATTCAGGGTATTAAGGCTTCAGACTAGAAATGCCTAAAAAACATTTTCCCATGTTGTCATTAAAATACCAATAAATTTCTATAAAATGAGTAAAACAGGCAATACCACTAGAAATTAAGGTAAGAGACAACTATTCAAAATACATTAGAATAATATCCATGAACTATTTCATTATTAGGCATAAATGAAAAAGTATATTCCCAGACTACAATAATTAAAAATTTCCATTTGTTAGGATTTACTGGTGGCCAGTATGCAATGCCCACCAGGGGTCTTAGGCACAACTAAACACTTAAACTCACAGATTACCATAGGTCATATTTGGCAATAGTTTACTTAGAAGTCAAAAGCACATCATGGTAGCAGAGGAGTAAGAGGTATTTTTCTTCAGCGAGAGTCTTTGCAGAGTATAGGAGACACATATAGGTGGTGCAGGAATCACCCTGACTGAAAAGCCTTCCCACAGGAGCCAGTATCTCTTGTGATAAGTAAGCATAGCTTATAGGGTTAGCCCAAAGAGCCTGACACATTACAGGAGTCGCTACATTCAGGGAAGTCCAGATACAGTCTGCTAGGTGATTTATAGCTCTCCCAGTCCAGACTCAATTTGCTATTCAGGGGTCATTTTTATTATAAGCCTTTAGGCCAGTGGTTCTCAACAAGGGGAGATTTTTATCACCACGGGAAATCTGTCAATGTTAGGAGACAGCTTTGTTGTCACAGCAGGGGGTTGTTACTGGCATCTAGCATGTGGAGGCTAAGAATGCTGCTAAATACCCTACACGGGACAGCCATCCATAGTAAAAAATTATCCATTTCCCAAATGTCAATAAATTCCAAGGCTGAGAAACTCTGCAACAGGCAATATATAGCAGATAAGACTACATACTTTGGAGTCATACCAACATGAGTTTATCCCAGCTGTACTATTAATATTTACATGTATAAACTTGAGCAAATTATTTCAACCTAAACTTGAATTCTCAACTGTAAAATGGATATGACAATATCTCATTGAATTATAGGGATTAAAAGAGTTTTCATCTTACGTCTTGGCACATAGTAAGCACTCAATCATAGGCACACATGTATGTCAATGTTAGATTTTATATATTGATCAAAACTTTGTGTGACCCTGTCTACTGGCAATGCCTATGTGAACAGATCATTCAACATTCAAATAAGGATTAGTGAACGGAGTGGCCGGATATATGGGGACCTATGAAAAGACAATTTAGTAGAAGGAGAAAAAGCACAATTATTAAAAGTCAGGGCAAAAGAACATTTTAGAATATGACTTTGTTTAAAAAAGTTTAGAAATGGGTGGAATCTGTAAGACTAAAGGCAAAGGAAACGTACAATAGCACTGTACTCCAGCTGATAAAATGATTCCCCATGAGGAGGATACAGGTTAACACTTCTGACACTGCTATAAATGTATAATAGAATTGAATAAATAAAAAGAAGGCAGATAGTGAGAGGTAGGTTTCTCAACATTTAAGTAGGAGTTTATAGATAATCGAGGAAACTTTTAGGCTAGAACGATCCATGTAGTAATGGATTAGAGTTGGAGACATAATTATGAACTTGTGTTTGGTTGAATTTATATGAACATGGTTACATACAGAAATACAGATACGTATATACACAGATTTATATAAACACTTATTTCCTTGCTCTATCAGCTGATCAGATCAAGAAGCAAGAACACCCCAGCAGCAATAGAACACCTAGCTCCCACATCTTGGTTTCTAATATCATTCTCTAATAAGGAGGAGGAACACTTCTTGGAGAAATGGCTGATTCTAAGATTGTGTCTTATACAAGATGAGCATGGAGCATCCTATAGTGACAGAAGCAAAGAAGTGCTTAAAAATAAAACAAAATCAAAACACTTATTGGGGCATGTCAAAGGCATACAGAGCTCCCTATGGCCAAAAGCTGGAACAGAATAAAGTAATATTAAATTATAACTCAAACTATAAATACCTATAAGCCATACTATATAAATGATAGCTTACTGAATAAATGACAGAGAAGAGGCAAATCTCCTATGCAGAATTCCAAATAATTTATACAGATAATCAGCTGTCCAGGAGGCAGAGCCTAACTCCCGAACCCTTGAATATGGGTTCAGTATAAGGATTTCCATCCAAAGAGCATTGTATGGGACAGGAAACAGAGTAAATTAAAAGTGGAAAAACCTGACAAACACACTATCTCAGCTAGGTGATCAAGATTACATCAACAGTGACATATCATGTTGATAATATGTTCTCTTGAGAATGTGATGAAAATGGCATTTTATTTCTATGATCCTCCTGCTCCAAACCCACAACCCCAATCTAATCATGAGAAAAACATCAGACAAATTCCAATAGATGGGTCTTCTAAAGTACTTGACCAGTTGTCCCTCAAAACTGTCATTACCATCAAAAATAGGGAATATCTGAGAAACTGTCATAACCAAGAGAAGCCTAAGGAGACATGGCAACTAAAAGTAATGTGGCAGCCTGGATGGGAATCCTGATCAGTAAAAGAGACGTCAGGTAAAAACTAAAGAAATCTGAATAAAGTATGGACTTTAGTTAATGTAATAATATTTCATTAACTGTAACAAACATACTAGACCAGGGGTCCTCAAACTTTTTAAACAGGGTGCCAGTTCACTGTCCCTCAGAACATTGGAGGGCTGTAGGAGAGTGCGGGGCACATTCCACACACGCGCACTGTGGGCGGGGGATGAGTCAGCTGCTAAGCAGGACAGGCAGTGGCGGAAAAAACACCCGGCAGACCAGATGTCCTTGGTGAGCCGCATGTGGCCCGCAGGGCCGTAGTTTGAGGACACCTGTACTAGATTAATACAAAATCTTACTAATAGATGAAATGAGTGTGGAGTACACAGACACTCTCTGCTGTACTATCTTCAATTTGCCTGTAACTTTATTCAGTTTATTTAGAAATTTTTTTTTTTTTTTTGGCCCTGTGAATGCAAGCTCCCAAAAGGATTCCTCACAGCAAATCTAAAGCCACAGAGGCCGATGCCTTCTGTCTTGAAACATCCCATCCAGGTTGCCATGGCCAGGAAAGGGAAAGAACTGTGGTACCCTTCCTGGGTCTCAATGGATAGGAAATTGCTTCCAGTTGTCATGAAACAAGTCCTTCCTGCAACAAATCCCTCTTGGGTACTCCCTGACATCTCCTCAGACCCTGAACAAAAGTCCATCTTTCTCCCTATTTGCACCTGCTGAGGCCTATCAGTAATTAAACAGATGGAAACCTACCATACCTGCTGACATTCTTGACCCTCTTGATCTGGCCTTGTCAGAGGTTTATGTGGTTTACGCAATTATCTGTATTTTTTTCAGGTCACCAACAACTTCCAGACAGATCCTTCTCTACCTGCTCTAAAAAATATACCACTCAGCCTTCACTCCATCAGGATACACAAACAAAAAAGCTACAAAGAGGTAGCACCTAACCCAGTAATGTGTTCCCCAGATGAAAGGCCTACTTGGAGGGTTTGTGGTCCCACTCAGCATAGAAGATAAATTGGAACCACCTCTAAACACAAACCCAATTAAAACATGCGCCAAACAAGCACAATGAAAAAAATCAGTAAACAAGAAAGATCTCTTAAATTTAATATATGACTGGTGGAAAAGTCCTGAAGAGGTGTCATTGAGTCCCAGCAAAAGAATGAACTATGAGCCCAGATACTTTTTAAATTAACATAAATGGAGAAAGGAAAAAAAAAAGCTCACAGGCCATCTGTCAAAAACAACACAAAGCAAATCAAAAAACAAGCACGCATTGAGAAAAAGGGTTAATAATAATAATAAAAGGGGAAATAATAACAAGTATATCCACTGTAACAATAAATATATTGGGTAAATATTTAAACTCAACTACATAAAAACTCAGGAGACATCCAAAAGGAAAGAACTCCAAAGTTGAAAGTAAAAGGATTAAACAAAACAACAGGCAAATAAATATAAACAAGAAATACGTAGGGGTATATTGAATTAAAATTATAATAAATTAAAAGCACAATGCATCAGACAAAAGACATTAAATAAGAGAATAACTCAAAATGAAATAATCGTCATTAAATGTATCAAATATACTGGAACATTTTTAACAAAACTAACAGAAAGCAAGAAATGAAATCAATGATACAATAGAAATGGGATATTAGGCAACTTTCTAAGTCCTTAATAAAGTAAGTTAAAATTAAGTAATAGTATAGTATATATGATTGACTAATTGGTATACAGGTGTATATAGGTATATAAATAGGTAGATAAATAAATAGGTATATAAACCAGATAGAATGTAGTTTCTATTCAAGTACCTATAGGAATGTTTACAAAAGCTGCTGTTAGGCTACTAAAAAGAAAATTCTCAGTAAATTAAAAAAGTAAACAAGAACAGTGGAGACATTTTTTACCAGAATGCAAAACTAGAAATTAACACCAAACAGAAAAAACAATTCCAATTACTTTGAAATTTAAATTTTGCTTCTAAAAAATAACCAGATAGAAGAGAATCAAAAGCACAACTGCAAAATACCTAAAAACAATAAAAATATTGCACATCATAATCTACAAAGCACAGCTCAAACTCTACTGCTATGCAATGGCAAAGCTCACACATAATTAAAGAATGAGATGAATTAAACATTCAACTCAGGAAGTGAAAAAAAGCAACAAAATATACTGGGGACGATTGATAAGTTAAGTACAAATTAATGAATTACACAGTGTAAATAATTACAGAGCTAGGAAAGGTATGCATGCTCAGGATGATATGCTTGCACTTAAGATTTCTGAGGAGGAACAGTTTTGAAGATTCAAGGTCCAAGGATTGGTATGACTGCGATTAGCTTAAGTGGCAAGTGAAGCAAAACCAAAAACAGTTACATTTAAACTCCATAGCCCTCAACAGACGCCTCTGAGGGTGAGGGCGGTACTCAGCATAGAGTTAAGGCAATGAGCCGTTGCCAATGTAACGGAGCGATCAGGACCTCACAATTGAGCATTAGATTAATATAACCGGGTGGCACAGGCTCTAAGGATTCTGTGGCCTCAAGGAACTCAAACAGCGGCTAATTATGGGGAAAACGGTAGTATCTGTGAAGAAGGTTGTTTTTGATCGAATAAGTCAAAGGTAGGTCAGCAGCTTGTAAGAAGAGCATGGAGATTACCTCAGATAAAGAGGAACGGAAGGCACTTTGCAAATGAGTGTCTGAAATAAGTAAGATACCTGTAAGTTTTAATGTTTTTTGGGGGGGTAGGGGAGGGTGGTGGCCAGGAATGACAGGGAAAGCAGGGTAAGATGGAATTAATTAAAAGAAAACGCCGTTTTCTTTCCTAGCTTATTGATCCAATCACACCTGGTATTTTCTTGAGACCAACAATATCAGACATTCCAAAACCAGCTGACCATGATATATTAAGCAAGTCACGCACCTGGAGACTGCCCTCGCTACAGAATGGAAGAGGGGACGGGATGAAGTTAAACCCCAGGTTTAGCAGAAGCCGACCTAGAACCCAGGCGTCTTATTTCTCACTCCCCGCCGTCTATCCCTGCTTTCTCTCTCACTCCCCGCCGTCTATCCCTGCTTTGTCTCGCACATCTAACTTCCTTCCGCAACCCACCTTTCCATCCCTCTCCGCCAGCTCGCGCCCTCCAGGTTCTCCGGCAGAGACCTGGTTGGAATAAGTGCAAACACGCTGAGGGGAGCTGCACATTCCGCCCGGACGCCCTCAAGCGTGAATTCCAACTCCACACACCCGCGTCCCCACCGCCCACTGACCCAGGTGATACCTGCAGGCACGACTCCTATCCAGGGCTTCGTTCAGTCACGCCCGCCCTGGTGCCAATTCCGACAGGAGGCGCGGAAATCGCCGCCCTGGCTGGTGAAGAGGACTGGCGTTGGTAACTACGCAGCAACTAAAATCCCCAAGCTTGCCGGCTAGTACACAAACTGCGGTCTCCTAAATTGCCACTGCGCACTCTCGCGCACGCGCACGAGCCAGGGAAGAACCCCCAGAAGCCCCCGCGACCCAGGTCTGTAAAGTAGACCCGGGCCTTCCCCAGCTCCGCCCCTTTCCCCAGGCCCCGCCTCTTCCCCAGGCCCCGCCTCTTTCCCCAGGCCCGCTCAACCCGTAGACTGCAACCTTGGAGCTCCAAGCAGACTGATATCACACTTCCGGTGGGTTGGGGAAAAAAGCTTCAAGGTTCCGGGGATTCCCAGATCTCATCCAGGAAAACTGGCCAAAACCTTCGTTACTTTCTCCCCTTCCCCCGACCCCCGGGACATTTGCCTGGAATAAAAAAACAGTGACATAATTTCAACAAGATATCGTCTTGTATATTGCAGAATCTTCATTGATTTATTGGTTCACTGATTCATTCATTCGGTTTTGCGTAGAAGTAACAGATCTTGCAGATCATGAGTTCAATTTTCGTTTGTTGGGTATGTGATACTTCGTGACGTTCAAGAGGGTTGCTATTTAAATATTTGGATATAAGCGTCTAAAATTTAGAGATATCTGGAGCTAGACTTGTAAAACTTATGTCAATCTGGGTAGATGATGTTATGAGTTGGAATGAGATTGCACAGAGAGAGAGAGAATAGAGTATAAGGAGATGTGCTGGATTGTCCCAGTTACACGGACATCATAGGAAAAAGTGCCTACAAAACAGAGAGAGGAGGATCAGCCTAAGAGGTAGGAGGAAATTTGGTGGGTGTGAAGGCATAGAAGGAAAGGAAGTGTGTGTCACAAAGGAGAGAATGCTCAATGGTATTAATTAGATTATAATATGATTAGTGCTTGAATAGAAGCATGTAGACAGTGTTGTAAGAGCAGATAGAAAGAACCCAAAGTAGTTAAGTCAGGAAAAGGCTCCCAGAAAGAGCTTTAAATTCTAGACCAGGAGTTAACTAAGGGAAAAGAAGACAACAACGATTTTTTTTCCTTTTTGGCCAACCTACTTTGTTCTTCTTATCAATCATAAACAAATTATGGATGTCATCTCATTTAATCATCACTACAACTGAGATTATTATAATCTCAAAATTTATTAAAACAAAGGTAGCAATATTAAGCTTCTAGCTCCTAGCTCTTCATACTTTTTCCACTTCTGCCCACTCAAATACTTCAAGATTTAGATGACCTTTAGTAAGATATGACAGAATTGTGGAATGATATTTTCTAAATCTGATGTATGCCATGAATCATTTGCGAAGTGACTGATCTTTAGAAAAGTCATATTTAACTAGCTAAGCAAAATAAAAATTTAAAATTGCAAGTGTTGTCAGCAAACAGGCTCAAGCATGGAATACAGCCAATTAAGAGGCAGGGAAATGGAAAAGGTACAAAATAGAAGGGATAATGACAGCCTTCCTCTCATAGGTATGATATTTCTGGCCAAGTGTCTTCAAAGGTCCACTGAAGGCTGCACACTGCTCACTAATTGAACAAGGGTTATTTTCAAGCTGCAGTCACTTCACTGCCAGTCCAGCTATTTTTAGTGGCACAACTTTATCATGTTTCTCTCAATATTTTTGTCATTATTTGTGATGCTATAACAAAGTACTTGAGACAAGGTCACTTATGAACAACAGAAATTTATTTCTCACAGTTCTGGAGGCTGGAAAGTTTAAGATTGAGGTACTGGCAGGTTCAGTTTCTGGTGAGGGCTGCTCTACCTTTCCAACATGGTGCCTTATTGCTGCATTCTCTGGTGGGGAAGAATGCTGGGTCCTCCCATGGCAGAAGGCAAGAAAAAGGAGTAAGAAAGCCCAAGGCTTCATGAAGGCAAAGGACCTTGAAGTCATGTGGGACTAGATCCTTAAGATGTATGGAATTGATTGCTACAAACTCCATTCCCTTCTGTCATAATAAAATCCAGATCCTCTAGATTAGAATTTCTCTGTAAAGATAGAGCATACCTAATTTGAACATCCCAAACCTTAAATGCTCCAAAATCCAAAGCTTTGAGCATTGACATGATACCCCAAGTGGAAAATTCCACACCTGACTTCATGTGACAGATTGCAATCAAGACACAGGCAAACAACACACAGTTTGTTCAGAGTTCCCACACATTCTGCTGATGCTACTGTATTCCTTGTTTACCCTTAACCATTTTTCAGTGCATTAATGTATGTCCCATTTTTACTGTTAAGTATTTATGTGTGAATAAGTATAAGAAAATGACTGTTTATTAGTAGCATATAAATTCAGAGTCAGGAATGATGGCAATGCCAAACAACCACAGATTGTATACATGGGTGGCCGAGATAGTGACATATTTGCTCTAGGATGGTTCAATGTCCACAAACTTTGTTTTATGCACATTATTTAAAATATTGTATAAAATTCCCTTCAGGCTATGTCATAAGCTATATATAAAACATAAATGAATTTTGTGTTTAAAGTTGGATTCCATCCCCAAGTTATCTATTTCAGTATGTATATGAAAATATTCCAAAATACAAAAATACCCCAAATTCAAAACACTTCTGGTCCCAACCATTTTGAATAAGGGATACTCCACCTATATTTAGGAAAAGATAGAAAACATAACCTGACTTAAGCCAACAGTTTTCCTTAGACACTCATTCATTCATTCAGCAAATTTTTATTGAGGAGCTATTATAATATGTGGCAGATAGCGTACTAGGCATTGGAGATATACTAATAAACACAACCAAAAGAGGACAGCCTTATCACCCACAGAAGCATTTCCTATGCAAAGCTGTTATATTTCATTATTCAATATTTTGTGTTTTACACATCCTCAGAATATTATGTGATATACAGATTATGAGTTGCATGTGTAAGTCTGAAATTTGTAGGTAGTCAAGACATTAGTGAGGATGATTTGGTTTCATAGGTTATGTGTAATGAACATTTGTCAATTTTGAGCTTCTAATCATCTGAATACTGTTTCTGTGTGTATAGTTCCTATGTGAGTCTTGGAGGGAGTTAGAGACTGTCCCTTTCCATAGAGGCTGAAAACACCCCAAATTCACTTTTTCTGTCTCTGTTGTATCTATGGCACAGCATATAACTTGAACTCAGTCAGTTAGATAAACCCAGTCCAGACTTTGAATAACGAGCTAGTGACATGAAAAACAAGGATGCACTTTATTTAAAAAAAATAGATTTTATTTATTTATTTTTTTTGAGACAGAGTCTCGCTTTGTTGCCCAGGCTAGAGTGAGTGCCATGGCGTCAGCCTAGCTCCACAGTAACCTTCAATCCTCCGGCCTCAAGCAAATCCCTGCTGCCCAGACTCCCCGAATGTAGCTGGGACTACAGGCAATGCACCCACCCAATGCCGGGTCGATTGTTTTCTATATTGATTATATCTTTTCCTTGTCGGCCTAATTTATCTTCTAATTACCTTGTTTAGAGTACCAGGTCTTGCCTGCTCAGGCGTGGTTTCGACACATCCCTGAGCTCCAAAAGATTCCACCACCCTCCGGCCTCCTAGAGATAAGAGTTTATTTTTTATACTGTTTAGGATTTACAGACCAAAAATTTAAAAGATAGCCAAATTCCCATACTACCACTGGCAACGCAGTTTTCTCCCTTATATACATTCGTTCGTTATTTATTGTACATTTGTTATAATTGATATCAGAACCAATACATGTTGAATACCATTATTCTATTTCAACTGAAGCCATAACTATTTTATGGGTCGTTAACATTCTTTCTCGCTTCGTTATGTATTTTGTTTGTTTCCCTCCTGTTGCTTTCTGATCCACGGATCCATCCCGCAGGGCAGATCACATTACAATTTAGCTGATGTCTGCTAGGCTCCTCTTGCTTGTGAGCAGTTTCTCAGACTTGAGTTTTTGTATGAGACCCTTGAAAGTTAAGAGTACTGGTAGGAGTTTTGTAAAGGAGTTCTTTCTATGGATTTGTATGATCTTGGGTCATTGATCAGTACTTCGCGTTAATGTTCTGAGATGAAGTCACAGAAGATTAGCATGCATGGTCGATGAACAGACAAGACTTTGGTGTTTTTTTTTCAACCGGGACCATGCTATTGACATGACATCATTGTTGGCGTTAACCTTTGATCAACGCTGCTGAGGTTGTGTTTGTCAGCAGACAATTTCTTTATGTTTCTTCTCCACTTGTGCATGACAGACACCGCAATATCCAGTTTCTAGAATCAGCAGCTCCAGCACCAGGCCCCTGTATTTCTGTGGTCCCCAACCAATGCTGCAGAGCTCGGTACGTTGGTGGCCGATAGGAACCGGTTGCACAGCAGGAGGGGAAGTGGAGGTGAGCCAGTGCAAAGCTCATCTGTATTTCAAGCTGGCTCCCCATCACTCTCACATCACATAAGCCTCCACCCCTTTCAGACCAGCTCAACAATTAGACTGCCTTATAGGAGCCAAGGAAACCCTACCGTGAAACTGGCACCCATTGAGGGCTTCTGGGTTGTGTCCTCCCCATGAGAATCCTAATTCCTGGTGATCTGAGGAGAGCTGAGGCAAGTGATGGTAATGCTGGGGACTGCTGCAATACAGATTATTGATGTCAGCAGAGAGGTTGCTGCACCAATAAAGTAATACATTTGAACATGCGAACCCAGCACACACCACCTCTACCCCCCCCCCACCCCATCTGTTCTATGGAAAAAATTGTCTTCTAAACCGGTCCCTGTGCCCAACAAGTCTGGACACCACCCTGGCTGTTTTTGATGGATCCACAGGTAACACTGTTCACCTAGTGCTTGCAGAATGGCAATCAATACCATCAGCACCCAATTCGTGATACATGATTGGCCTGTTATTCCGGCTGTAGTGTACTATACCATAGTTTGTGGTCAGTATGTTTTCTGTTTTTGAAACAGTCTCTACCTTTCGTTGCTTCAGTGCTAGAGTGGTACCTGATTGTCACCCTAGCTCATAGTAAGCCGGCAGTCTCTGGCCTCTTCCCTGGGCCAGCGATCCTACTGCCTCCTGCCTTCCAGAGTAGTTGGTATCTACAGGGTCACCCGTGCCACCATGCCCTGGCCTAATTTTATTTGGATATATAGATTTAGTGTGGATCTAATTAATTCATTCTTGTCTATTTTAGTAGCACTATTGGCTCTGCTAGATCGTCAGGCCTGGTTTTGAACCCTGACCTATAGCCGAGTCCGCCCTGCCCTTCTGGCCTCTGCCCAGAGACTTAGTTTTACAGGCATGACCCAGTGCCGCAGCCTATTCAACATTTTTTATTTTAGTGCCTTAGAGTATCTGCAGTAGTCAGTGTCTGTTTTCACACTTTTTGGCCGTTACAACTAATAACCTTGACTGGATAGATATACGTCCATCTTATCTATTTGCTTTTTGGTATTATTAGTCGAGGGAAGTTCTGGGCCATCCTCTTTCTGCGGCGTTGCCTCCCATAGCGATTTGAGAGGTGTCAGTGGTTCAGACAGCGCATGGGCGTTCCACGTGGTCATTGGACGGGGGAAGAAGTGGCGCGCATGTGGCATCTGTTCTGGTGGAATTGAGCGGTGGATGCATCGATTCCTCCTCTTGTTCAGGTAATCCCACCTGCTGCATAACAAACTATTTTAATAACTTAGTACATTTAAAACAGCAGCCCATTTATTTGTTCAGTCTGAGTCGTGTGTTCAGTTAGTTTTGGTCAGCGGCCATGGCAGTATATCAGCTAATGGCAAACATTTATTCTGATTGGGATGATGGCCAACGTGCGAGTGAAATACGCGGTACCCATTGGAGAGGTGAGGAATCAGGGAATGTGAGTATGCAGAATATTCAAACATGTCATTCTATGTGAAAATTATAACAAAAGCAGTGGGTTGGAGGGAGCCACAGTGAGCCAGGGGCTAAAGTATTCAAGGAAAATGGGGGAGTGATCTAGGAATCTAAAATAAAATAAATTAAATCCCCTATAATCCTACTTTCCTGACCATACCTTATTTCTTCCTTGTCTTTCATGGTAATACTTCTCCAAATTCGTGTTCATATTTTCTGTTTCCATTTTCTTACTTTTCCTCTCTTCACTGAAATAGATCTCATATAGATTATAACCAGCAGCCAAAGTCACCAAATTCAATTAATAATTTTCTGTTCTCATCTATGTCTCTTCAACTAACACATATCATCTGAATGAGGGTTTTCACTGATCATCATGATTCATATTAAAGTTTGTCTATTGTGGTACAGTTCCAGTAATTTTAAAAAGACAGTAACAGATCCAAATAATGTATATTAAAACACATTATGCCTTGGTCATTTCTCTGGATGTATTCCATATACCCAGAGTTGGATAAGCTATAATAAAATGAAATAAGAGCTCAATAAATGGTTTAAAATGAATTCATGAATTAAACAAATAATTACAGCTACCAGATAGCTCTTTATTGTGGAGGACTTCTGCAGAGCCTATCTGACGTGTGAGGTTCTGAGCCCCCATGTTCATGATTGACTATAGACCGTGGAACCCTCTTTGAACATGTGATGATTAGAAGTTTAGGCAAGAGAAAGGAAAGTGACTTCCAGCCAGTTCATTTGGACCAAGAGTTTATGAGAACCAGAAGTGGACTCTGGAATTGACTGTTCTAGAGAAATTGAGCCACAATGAGGCATGGTATACAGGTATCTAAGCCTATGAGGGGGTCATCCTAGGATGGGTAAACTCCAATTTCTAAAATTCTAATTTCTCTTTTGATTTCTGAAGAAATATTCATTGGATAAATTGGACTTATTCAAAGGAGGATGACCAACATGAATACTGGGTATCAAAGCATTTTACATAAAAGAATTTTAAAGTGATTAGCAGTGATAATTGAATCTGGACAAATATAGAAACTGATTTCAGTAACTTGTGGAATGTAAGAATAATGAAAATTATTCTAGGAGTTAAACTAAGGAAACTGGATTGCACATATGGGAAAATTGATTTTGACTTACTGTGGGGAAAATCTAATAGCAAAAATTATCTATACATAAAAGAGATAAATCAACAAAGTAGGGAGCTCTGTCATTCCTGTTTAGGTAAATGCTGGACAATTATTCAATAGAGATATTATGGAATAATTTAAGCCTCACTTTTTACTCTGATAGTCTATGCTTATATGAAAGTTGGATGACTATATAAAACTGATTTTCTGAAGATTTCAGGAGAGACCCTAATGAACTATATAATATGACCTTTTCACAAGCTGAAATACTCTGAGCCTGAATGACCCCAGTATTAAAGACTCTTTCACATATTTTAATTGTTTTAATCAGAGTCTATTCCAAGATTCATATGACCAGGGCTTGCAAACTTGAAATGCCTTTGATGTTAGAATTATACATGCAATTTGTATTAGATATTATTTCAGGATAATCTGGTTTAAACCTCTTAGATTCAATTATGATTGTGTTTAAAACATGTCCATGGCAGCTGAATTAACTACAAACTTCTCAAAATATAACCTGGTACCTTCATAATCAGGAATAGCCTAACCTTTCATCTTTTTGTTTCTTTTTTATACCCAAATTATTGTGCATTATTTTAGGTTACAAAGATAAGGAGCACATAAAATGGAAAACTATTTGTCCCACTCATACTGAGGACTGATATTTGACTGCATAACAAGATTTAAATTGTAAAAGCACATGGAAAAAAATTACAATACAATGAAGTTATTTAATTTCTACTGGGTAGCCCTTTTGTTTCTTGCCTATGTTCTAGGTTTGAGTGGAGTATTCAGTTTTTAGAAAATGTCCTTCACTTTTATGGTTCCTTCTGAAATGACTAATTCATAACAACCTACTAAAACCCTGCTCCTCTTTTAAGGATGTTACCACAGTGCTAAAAGTCAGACGAGAGGTCACCTGCACTGACAGAGGAACTTTCTTCCAGCTAATTTCCTGACAGCCCCTTTAACATCCTTGTTCCTCAGGCTATAAATTATGGGGTTCAGCATTGGAGTTACCATGATATAGAAGACAGATATCATCTTATCCTGCACCTTTGTGGTCTTGGAGTTTGGCCGCATGTAGTTGAATATTGCTGACCCATAGAAGAGGACAACAACAACAAGATGGGAGCCACAGGTGGAAAAAGCCTTGAGCCTCCCTTCCCCAGACCGCATCTGGATAACAGTGGAGATGATATGCCAGTAAGAGGCAAGGATGAGGGAGACAGGAGCCAGGAGGATTACCACACCCATTGCAAAGATGGCCATCTCTGTGCTTTTGTTGGAAGATCTCTTGTACCGACTACTCTCAACTGAGGCTCGCTTCGGTTTGTAGGAGCTTCTATTGGGATTTGATGATGTTTTTTTGGCATTGATTAGACTCGGGCTATAGTTGAGATAGGTCCAAGATAGAGTGGCACTTTCATTCATCATACCAAGGGGAGACATGCTATTGCAACTGAGTGATCTTTGCTGTGTTAACTTGATCACCTGGCGAGTTGGTTGTCAGCAAAAATCTTTTTGTGTCTTTCTCACGGTGGCAGCTGGAACAAGACAATCAACGCACGTTCAGATCACGCGAGCCCAGCTCATGCCCTGTATTGCGTGGAATCCACACCATGGGCTCGCAAGACTGGTACTGGCTGGTGGCCTGATAAAAGGGTTGCACAGCCAGGAGGATGTAGGTGAGCGGCAAGCTTCATTTTACAGCTGCTCACATCACTCTCATCCATCACACTAACGCTCCACCCGTTCAGACCAGCTGCAACATTAGATGCCTTATAGAGCCGAACCCTACCCGTAAACTGCACATGTGAGGGCTTCTGCGTTGTGGTCTCCTCATGAGAATCTGAATGCCTGGTGAATCTGAGGTAGAAGCTAGCAGGTGATGTAAACATGC